GCCGGGGCAGTCCCGCGGAGCGAGGCTCTCAGCAAACTTTATTTTGAAAGCTCAGCTCCCTGAGGGAGGGCCCGGCGGCCTCCAGCCAGGGTGTGTGGGGGAATTTTGGTGAAACTCTCACCAGCCCGTGGGGGATGGGAGGAGGGCAACTTTCTTAGAAATCTCACCTTGACCACCCCCTTGAATTCGTAGTCCAGGGCTGCCTCCCTCAGATAGGGAGTGGGTGCTGGGTGCGTCCTGCCTGAGGTTCTGGGCAGGACCTCATTTGAGCAAGCCCCATCTCTTCCCCCATTTTCTCTTCCCAGAAGCAGGAAGAAGTGACACGTGAAAGTTGTCCCTGAGCTCCGAGTGATGCGCTTCCCCTTTCTGTCTTTTTCAGGCAGCACTGCCTTCTCCAGCGTCCAGACCCTGGAGGAAAAATACCAGGAGAAACTGCTCACTCAGCCCTGCCCCCGCCACACCTTACCTGCTCACCTCATGCCTGGGTCCAGGGTGGGTGAGGGTGAAGAACCCACCGGGCCAAGATGATCCCTTTTCTGGGGACTGCTGCTGGTGTCCTTCCCCAGATCCCGGGCCCCAGCAGGTGGGAGAGTGGCCCCCTACGGAGCCCGATCAGACTGCTGCAGAGGAGGTGAAGAGGGGTTGAGAAGAGGCATCCATCCACGAGACTGAAGCCACTTGCCTTCATCCTTGTGATTCTTGGCTGTTCTAGGCGAGAAGGACCTGTTGGTGGCCTTTGGAGGTGGCGGGAAACTGGACTGTGGTTCTGCCCCAGCACCTATGCCCCCACCTCTGGCAGCATCATGAGCCAGTTTCAGGTGCCCCTGGCCGTCCAGCCGGACCTGCCAGGCCTTTATGACTTCCCTCAGGGCCAGGTGATGGTAGGGGGCTTCCCGGGGCCTGAGCTCTCTATGGCTGGGAGTGAGTCCCAACTCCGAGGGGGTGGAGATGGCCGGAAGAAACGGAAACGGTGTGGTACTTGTGAGCCCTGCCGGCGGCTGGAAAACTGTGGGGCTTGCACTAGCTGTACCAACCGCCGCACGCACCAGATCTGCAAACTGCGAAAATGTGAGGTGCTGAAGAAAAAAGTGGGGCTTCTCAAGGAGGTAAGCTGGCCCTTGCTAGGCTACCCTGTCCCTTCCTTGAGGGCACGGTGATCACGGGGGTCTTGTTCAAGCAAGGCTCGTCCAGTTGAATCCATTCTCTCATTTCTGATTCTCTTGGTCCAACTTTAAGTAGGAGTGTAACTGACATGTTTGGGCTACTTTGCAGGGCTGACAGTTTGTATGAGAGTAACTGGGTAGAAGGGGGATCTGAGCAGGCACCCTAATCTCTGATGTTTGCATTTGTTGTGGGACTGTGATGTCTACCTTTACCTCTAGAAGTTTCTTGTCCTGGTGCTTGAAGCCTCAAATGTTGTATTTCAAGCTCATGCTAATGCTTGGATGACTTGGGCTTTGATAGTGTAAGATAAGGGATGGAGGCTGATGGATTTGGAGACAAAGTTTTGGATTGACAGGGTGGTTTTATGCTGCCCTGATGGAGTGGGATGTTTCTTTCATGGTTTTTCTCAGATGGCCAGAGAGCCAGTTGAAACCGTTTGGGAATCTAATGACAGACTGATGATTTGGGTTCTCCTTAGTTCTTCTTGCAGTCAAAAACTTTATTTCTGTGTTCTCAGGACTTGGCACAGTTCCTTGGCAGGTAGTAGGCACTCAGATGCTAATTGCATGAATGGATGACATGCTTTTGAGACACTATCAACCCCAGGGAGGTGTACTCCCTTTATTTGGGGATAGTAAGGTGGAGAAGGGAAGGAGATTTGGGATGAGAGCAGGCAGGGTGAGAAGGCAAGGGAGAGACGGTGACCTTGCATTGGCCGTCTTTCCCTCCCATTTTAGTGGCGGGCTGCCGGCTTGAGGTTGGTGACAGCCGAGACAGCAGAGAGTTGGCAGAAGTAGGGCTGAGCGAAGTTGAGCAGCTTAGGAGGAGCGGTGTAGCCGCTGAGGTCGCTCCAGGCAGTGGAACTGGCGCTGGACAGAGATGGAGGCCTGTGCTGTCTTCGAGCTCCCCCTGGCTCTGCCACTCATTTGTCCAAGGGTCCAGACAACTCAGGCCCCTTCTCTGGGACTGTCTTTTCCTCGGGAGAAGTGGAGGAGTTGTACTTGATGTCTTTCAAAGTCCCTTCCAACTGGGCTGGGAGCTGCTTGATTCTGAGGACTCGGGTCCCTGTGACTTTGTTCCGCTGGCGGCTCGTGCTCAGGGTTTCCCTGACCGCTGAGTGCAGAGCCGCATAGCGAGCTGGTGGGACTGGTCCTGTGGCTAGGAAGAAAGACTCAAGTGTTGAGAACAGGGAGGTGGGGTTGCTGGATATTTCTGCCCCTTCTCACCTTGTCTTGTCCGTGCCCTGTGGAAGCTGTATGTCCTGACCCAAGGACTGCAGACACAGGGCCCTGTTTCCCCTGTCTCTTGTTAAAGCAGACATCTGGATCACATATGCAGCCCCCAGCCCCAGCCTGGGAGACTTCTCTGTTGCTGGTGTTGGGGGTAGTTATGGTCCTGCTGGCCCAGTGCCACATGGGTCGCTACTGAAAGCAGGGTGGTATGAAGTGGGGGAGGCTTTACTTCTGGATGTAAGAGCTGGTGCTTTGGTGTAGGGAGGAGCTGCTGAGTCTACTTTGTAAAGCTTGATTCCTTTGCGCCCTTGCTTCTAGCATTGCTTTTCTTCCCCAGCCCCCATTGTCTTACTCAGTTCCTCCCATAATTAGACCGGAGGGATGAGGATGCTCAGCTTCCTGGGCTAGATGTTCTTGGAAGCAGTGGCCCTTGTGAACTAAGTTGAAGTGCTGCTTTTGGCAACAACAGAACATACCTGAGTGAAAGGGGCTGGGAGTGAGGCCAGGGCCTTGTCATCCTGTGTGTAAGCTGTCGGCCCAGACTGCCGGGTGGTCTTGGTTAAGATATCATGGATCTGGGGTGGCTGAGGCTTAGAGACAACCCTGCTGAGAGATGCCTGCATCCCTATTGACCTTACCCTGGCCAACTACCTCTCTAAGCTCCAGGGTCAGGTAAGGTGAGGCTGGACGGCCTTGGGTGTCTGAGGACAGAGGGTCTACATGCTGATCTGTGGATCAGTAGAGTTCTGTGTTTCTAGAGAAACAAAAGGGGACAGTGGAATGAGTTTTTTTCATAAAGCTAACTTTCTGTGACTTAAAGAGCGGTACTTTTTTTGTAATGATAGGTTCTTTTCTACTTCTCGATGTTTAAAATATGCTTTCTTAAAATGTGCTTTATGAAGGTGTGATAGAAAGTAGACTTTTTTTTTTTTTTTTTAAAGTCTTTGGTAAAATACAAAATGGTAACCAGTGCCTCTCTCTGAAAAAAAAAGGTTTTTTTTTTATTTTTTGGTCCATGAAAGCTGAATGCCAGAGAGTCACTGTCTAGGGTATACTGCATTTAACGGGCATGTCTCTGTCATAATTGAAAAGCTGAGAGGTGCCTGAGAGACTGCCAGAGTGGATGAGACCCTAAGACCAGCCCAGCATTTAGCAGATATTGGGGACTGCTGGGACCATAACCATTGGATCTTAGCAGCCGTGTGGCAGAGGGAACATGTTCCAAGATTGGGGAGGTTGTTTTGGCCATGACTGTTCAGGTGGGGTGGGACGCAGTATCCTAGGAGCCTCTGGGACATCAGACCATCTACCTGCATTCCTGCTGCGTGGCACTTCCTCCTCTGTGAGAGCACTGTACTCTTCTGGGAGCTCTTCCTTACTTCCCTTCTGTCTCCATCTCTCCTAGTTGCCTTTAGGGCTTCCTTTGAACTGTCTGCCTACAGTTACTTTATATCATCCTGTAAGGAGGAGATTATCTTGGGTTTTCCGTCTTCTTTCCCTGCTCCTCACTCTTTTTCTCTGGGCTTTGTGGCTGGGGAGGAAGGGTGCAGGGGAATCCCTCAGAAAAGAAGTTCACCATTTTAGGACTAAAGACAGGCTCCCCCCAGGGATGGGCCTTCCTGCCTTAGGGGGAGGTGACTACTTCTCTGGGTCCTAATGTGAGGTTGGGGCAGGTTGGTAGTAGCTGTGGTCTTCCTTCCTATTCCAGGAAGAATTTAGAGGAGGCTGTTTGATTTCATATTCTTTTTACCCGAGT